TGAAGAGTCATCTCCTAATAGAAACTCAGCTGCAGTTGCCAGGATCTTGCTATGAATACCGTAGGATGCCCCTCTCACCTTTATCACTTAGGAAATTCCAAGGGCTTTAGGACTCTTGTGCCAGGAATCAGGAAGGACCAACTATTTCTTATCTCATGATTTCTCAGGCATTAACTGGGAGGAGAAAGACCAGTTCCTTGAGGAATGTTAATGTTCCACGGCACACAGGTGTGCAATTCACACTGGTCTTTGATGATTCTTCATAGAGGAGATGTGGTGGGTGGTGTCCTTAACTGCCCTCATTTCTCATAAATGTAAAAATATCTTCCCTACAGCTATTTCTTCATTGACTCAATATGGGATTAACTCTGCCTAACGATATACACACATACATACGTACTTCTCTATATGGACATTTATGTGCCCATAAGTATATTCTGTAAAGAATAGATTTTTTTTGCATATTTGTTCAGCCATCTTTTGTGCTTATACATGTTTTATACTGTTTTTTTAAATTTTGCCTAATATATTAGCCACTGAAATTAGTTTGTATTGTCTTGCGATTCTAGCATCTGGAGTCTCTTCATTACTGGTTTTGGTATTGGCCCAAACGATCATGACAAATTTAGGAATCTGTGTTATTCATCTACTTATAAGTAGCATATAGTTCAGTACTGGCAAATAGGTGCTCAAATTTATATATAGATTGCAGGTGTTCCTACATTAGCAAGAGGATTTAATGGTATATATTACAGAAACTGGATTTTCAACTTCGCTGGATAAATGGAAGACTGCACGGTGACATAATATTTTACTAGGATTCTTATTCTGTCACAGTGTGTTAAAAAAAAAACCACCAATTTCCTATATTGCAAAAATGAGCAGAATCATTTCCTTTACCCTGTTTCCGAATCCCCATTAAACAGCACTATGTTACAACAGGAATCCCTGACATTCGGCGATGTGGTCGTGGACTTCAGCCAGGAGGAGTGGCAGCTCCTGGCCCCCGCTCAGAAGGGCCTGTACCGGGACGTGATGCTGGAGAACTACAGGAACCTGGTGTCAGTGGGTGAGGACAGCACCCCTGTGTCGCTCAGGGGGCCCCCGTCAACGACCTTTTCTTTCTCAGCTGCTTAGCTCTTCAGAATAACTGCAGTGCTCTGAAACTGCAGATTCTTAGATCCTTAGACAAGAGGATAAAATGCCCCCTCTCCTGAGAGAAAAGCCGTGATGTTACAGATAGGAAACCCGTTGGGTCCCTGATACATACCGTCATCCCCTCTTGGCATACCCCAGCATGATCCAGACGTGTAAGCCTTCTGCATTTTTCACAAGCAGGGTATCCAGCCTCCAAACCAGATGCACTCTCCAAGTTGGAACGCAGAGAGGAACTTTGGACATTAGAAGATGAAATTCACAGTCAAATCGGTCCAGGTGAGTGGGTCACAACCAGCAAGCTGGGCAGCTGCAGAGGTCAGAGAGGACACCTGGGGAAATGCAGAGACCCCCACACGTATCTCTTTTGCCATGTGAGAACTCTTTCTCTGTAGAAGTTTGGACGGAAATTTACCCCCTTTTCTTCTCTTCTGACGTCTGATCCTATATATATCTTGTATATATCTTGTTTTTGTTTGCATAATTACCCTCTTAGATTTTTTTATCTTGTATATATCGGGTTTTTTTGCTTGCATGATTACTTTCTTCCTAGGATTTT